TTCCGGCTACTTGGAAGGCTGAGGCAGAAGGATCGCCGGAGCCCAGCAGGTCGAGGCTGCGGTGGCTGGGAGCGGCCACTGCTCTCCAGTCTGGGCGATGGAGTGAGACTCCAACTAAAAAAAAAAACAAAAATTTTTTTTCTTGTAGAGACAGGTATCCATTTGTGGTCCTCAGGCTGGTCTCAAACTCCTGGCCTCAAACAATCCTTCAGCCTTGGTATCCCAAGGTGCTGGGATTACAGGTGTGAGCCACTACACCTGGTCAAAAGAATTGTAAGGACTACCTGGAAGGTTCAGTGGTCCTGAAACAACCTGACTTGGACCAATGTGTATATGTTTGATGAGGGCAGGGGTCTGGGGAGAGAGTGGGCTGAGGTAAGAATTAAGAAGCCTGAGTAAATTCTCTTTCTTCTGCCATCAACCCTTTCTGTGGCCTTGGGCAAGCTGTTTCACTTTGAGCCTTTTCCATTTCTGTAAAAGATGAATTTGGAATATGTTTTAAAGGAATCCAGGAAATAATATCACCAAATATGCCACATGGCATGATGATTGCTTCAAACTGAGTGCATTTGGGGAACAGCAAATGCACAGAGGAGATTTCCTGAATTTTCCTTATCCTTAAAGTCCTTGCACACCTTGGATCCTTTATTTTCTTTTTTTTTTTTTTTTGAGTTGGAGTCTCACTCAGTCGGTCGCCCAAACTGGAGTGCAGTGGCCCCTCCTGGTCACCGCAGCCTCGCCTGCTGGGCTCCGGCGATTCTTCCGCCTCAACCTTCCGAGTAGCTGGAATTACAGGCATGCGCTACCACAGCCGGCTGATTTTTTTGATTTATTGTAGAGATGAGGTCTCGCTGCCCAGGCGGGTCTCGAACCGCGGGCTCAGGCAATCCACTCACCTCAGCCTCCCAAAGGCGCGGGATTACAGGCTGAGCCACCGAGCCCGGCTGGATCCTTTATTTTCCTCAAATGGTATACATCCCACATTTTAGGAAACAATGCCCATCTTCCCTTGGTTAACTTGGACTCACCCTGCAGTTTTCAGGTTAGATATCAATTCTTCAGAAAGCTTTCCTGGATTACTCCCCAACTAAATTACTTACAATAGTAGCACGAAATATTGCTTTATCGAGAGTGTATTCCCCCATGCTTCTTGAGAGTACTCAACCTACTAAGGCATGGTGCATTTTGCTGTCAATCGCCCCTTAACTAGTCCTATGAGGACAGATACCGTGTCTCTCTGTTTTTTTGAGTTGGAGTCTCACTCTGTCACCCAGACTGGAGTGCAGTGGCACGCTCCCGGCCACCGCAGCCTCAACTTGCTGGGCTCTGGCGATCCTTCCGCCTCAGCCTTCCAGGCAGCCGGAATTACAGGCGCGCGCTACCGCCCAGACTATTTATTTATTTATTTATTGTAGAGATGAGGTCTCGCCAAGTTGCCCAGGCGGATCTCGAACCCGCGGGCTCAGGCAATCCACTCACCTCAGCCTCCCAAAATGCCGGGATTACAGGCTGAGCCACCGAGCCCGGCTTCGGTGCTCTTCTGTAACCCACAGATCTTTACACATATCGGGCTCCCAGTGAATGCAAACGAAGTAAGAAATTACACCTTCACAGTTCCTGCACTCCCCCAGCCTGGTTAAGCCCCGCCTCCCCCGTCAAGCAATGATAGGCGTCCGCGGCAGCCAAGGTAAAGGGCGGTGGGCGGGGCCACGCAATGACGCAACCTCACGTCTGCCAAGGATTGGCAGCTTTTCCGGCTGAGGAACCGTCGCGTTTCTGGGGAGACGCCTAAGCTGGCGGTTACCATCGCGCTTGAAGCCAGCGTCCCGATCCGCCACCTCCGTCCCCAGCGTCACCATGGGGGCTGTGCTGGGTGTCTTCTCCCTCGCCAGCTGGGTGAGTTCGGGACCTGTGTCCTCGCCGGACCCGCGGTTCGTGGGGAAAGTCGATGGGGAGCCTCAAGCCCAGGCCCGGGGGAGGAGGGATGGCCTGGGCTGCGGGGTGTCTCTGGGGGTGTCTCCTGGGACCCAGGCCAAAATCCGCCATACCCGCAGGTCGGAATTTGGCGGCTGGCTTTCCAGGTTGGGTGGGGAACGGGGGAGGCCAGGCCGCCATTGTTTACAATTCCGGTGGTCCCGCCCCGCGAGCCTTCTGGCCTCCGGCTTCTTCTGGAGCTGGAGAAGGACCAAGGAATGGGAGCTTCCGGGGTGGAGGCTCTGGTGCATTCCTAAGCATCTCTTAAGGTGGCGTCATGTAATTCTCGGTGGCTTGAATAATATTTGTATAGCACACCACGGAATGTACAAGAACTCCGGAGTATGTGGCAGAGCTGGGATTTTAACCGAGGTCTGTTTGCCATTCTGGAACAAGGAAAGAAGGCCTTGTGGGTTATTACTCAAAACTGGAAGCCAGGACCAACGTTTGGGACGGCTACAAGTCATTTACTGATGAAGATGATCTCCTAGCACCGCTCCCCTCGAGAACTGATGTGAGGGTAAAGTGAATAGTGGGTAGAATCACTTTGTAAACTGTGAAAATACTTTGAAAAGGAAATTTTAGGGTCTATCCAAGACAGTATGCTGTGTCCCTTCATATACCACTTCAGAAGAGCATGATTCCTTGACATCATTTCATTGTTTCCTAACTCCCCAGCTACTGATCAGCCAAGTCTTTGGAGAAACAAACTCAGTTTCTCCTACTGTACTACTGTACTCACAACACACTTTTGACACCAGATGTGTGGGGATTTTCCCCCAGACATCAAGCTAGCAATCAGTTCTGCAGCAGACACCAGCTTGGTGTGCTCCAGTTTATTCGGGAGCTATCTACCTGAAGATAGCCTCAGATTCCACAGGTTGAAGGTTCAGTCCCATAGACTGTACCCATTTCTGATGCCAGTCACAAGCCTCAGGTTTTACCTGTACTTCCGACCTGCCAGCTGTAAATCAGGGTTCCCACGACCTCCTTCCTTGGGTTTGATTAATTTGCACACAAACCTCAGGGAAGCATGCTTACTGGTTTATTATAAAAGATATTTTTAAGGATGCAGATGAAGTAAAGCATTGGGTGAGGTATAGAAAAAGGGGTGCGGGGCTCCCATGCTCTCACTGAGGCACCACCCTCCAGAAATCTTCATGTGCTCAACCTCCTGGAAGCTCTTCCAACCTCTGTCCTTTTGGGCTTTTAATAGAGACTTCATTATGTGGGCATCATTGATTAATTACTGGCTGTTGGTGATCAGCCTAACCTTCAGCCCCCTTCTCTTTGAAGGCTGAGGGGAGGGGGGTGGGACTGAAAGGTCTCAATTCTCCAATCAGGCCTTGGTCTTTCCTGTGACCAACCCCCAATCTGAAGCTACCTGGGTGTTGCCAGCATATCATTAGCATACAAAAGGACACCACTTTGGTGATTCTAAGGGTTTTAGGAATTGGAGAACAAAATATATATCATATATGATACATATGGTTATATATAACGTATCAAGGATTTTGTCTCAGGTTATTCCATTATTTCTTAGGAACCGAATATCTTTTCCATCCTCTAAAGTTGTTGTTCCTAAATCAAAAGTGCATTTCAATCATTTAGGGCTTTCTTGAGAGCAGTGGTTTTCTAATTTTTCTGACTCTGACCCAAAATAAGAAACATATTTTACATAGTTGATCTAATGCACCCATTTAGAGACAAAGTTTTATGAAACAATCCTTTATCGTATACTGTACGATTTTTTCTTTTATCTTCTAGTACGTTAAAAAAAAAATCCTGATGAGTTGATTTTTACCATCCACCTGCAGTTCAGACTTACTATTCACAAAATAGATCTTTAAAAATATAGTTAAGGAGTGAGTTGGTAATTTGAAACAAACGTCTTTCCTATCGTGATAACCTGAAACACATTTGTACTTGGATTAAAAGTGAAGACTAAACCTGACCTTTTTTCTCTTAGGCTCTGGAAGTCACTGCCTGATAAGCCCTCACTCAATAGGGTTTTATTACCCTATATCCTAAGGTTTACTTTCTTCTTTTTTTTTTTTTTTGAGTTGGAGTCTCACTCTGTCGCCTAGACTGGAGTGCAGTGGCCGCTCCCGGCCACTGCAGCCTCGACCTGCTGGGTTCCGGCGATCCTTCCGCCTCAGCCTTCCAAGTAGCTGGAAATACAGGCATGCTACCACACCCGGCTAAGTTTTTTTTTTTTTTTTGAGTTGGAGTCTCACTCTGTCGCCCAGACTGGAGTGCAGTGGCCGCTCCCGGCCACCGCAGCCTCGACCTGCTGGGCTCCGGCGATCCTTCTTTCTCAGCCTTCTAAGTAGCCGGAATTACAGGCATGCGCTACCAAGCCCGGCTGATTTTTTTGATTTGTTGTAGAGATGAGGTCTCGCTACCCAGGCGGATCTCGAACCCGCGGGCTCAGGCAATCCACTCACCTCAGCCTCCGAAAGGCGTGGGATTACAGGCTGAGCCACAGAGCCCGGCTTAATTTTTGATTTATTGTAGAGATGAGGTCTCGCCAAGTTGCCCAGGCGGGTCTCGAACCCACGGGCTCAGGCAATTCACTCACCTCGGCCTCCCAAGGCGTGGGATTACAGGCTGAGCCACGGAGCCCAGCCAAGGTTTACTTTCCACCCTGACTCTAGCATAACATAACATATAAATAAGGTTTATGGCCCTTCAAAGCTATCTTTTTATGAATTCCCAGACTCCAGGAACCTTGTAAAACACTTATCTATCTTCCCTGAAGTCTGCCACATCTAGGGCTTCATCTACATGTCAACAAACCTGGAGTTTTCTGCCCCCTTATCTTAACAAAGCATCTCTACTTATTTCCCAAATTCCTTAGATAGGAGCTACAAATTACCAGACAAGAAGTCTTTGAATCCACCTATAGCCTGCAAACTTTCCTCCCTTGGAAATGTCCCTCCTTCCTGGGCCAAACCAATGAAAATCCCACATGTATTAATTTATGGTTTCTTGTAACTTCTGCGTTCCTAAGATGTGTGTAACTAAGCCCCCATTCAACCACAGTGGGCACATATTCTCAATATCCTGAAGATGGGTGTACCCATGTTTATGTCCTCAAATTTGGCTCAAGTATAAATCATCTTACAATATTTTACAGAGTTTGGCATCTTTTCTTCAACAAAGGCTAAGATTTGAATTGATGCTATCCAAGCATTTCTATGTATATATTGTTTTTGTATTTTATTCGTTTTTTTTTTTGAGTTGGAGTCTCACTCTGTCGCCCAGACTGGAGTGCAGTGGCTGCTCCCGACCACCACAGCCTTGACCTGCTGGGCTCCGGTGTTCCTTCCGCCTCAGCCTTACATAGCTGAACTACAGGCATGCGCTACCACACCCAGCTAATTTTTGATTTATTATAGAGATGAGGTCTCACCAAGTTGCCCAGGTGAGTCTCGAACCGGCGTGCTGAGGCAATCCACTCACCTCAATCTCCCAAGGCATGGGATTACAGGCTGAACCACCGAGCCCGGCTATTCTTTTTTTTTTCCAATAGAAATTTCATTTCCTGTTATTCTTCCCCTCACTCTACTGTAGAGTGAGGGGAAGAATAACAGGAAATGAAATCAAAAAGGCAGGGAACCAAATCATATAGAGGCCCATTATATGGTCTCGTAAGTTTTGGTTGTTGTTGTTTTTTGAGTCAAAGTCTTAACTTTGTTGCACAGGTTGGGGTGTAGTGTCATGCTGCTTATGGTCACCGCAGCCTTGACCTGCTGGGCTCAGGCAGTCCTTTTACCTCAGCCTTCCAAGTAGCTGGAACTGTAGGCGTGTGCTACTACGGCTAATTTTTTGATTTATTGTAGAGATGAAGTCTCACCAAGTTGCCCAGCTGGTCTTGAATCCCTGGACTCAGGCAATACTCTCACCTCCTCCTCCCAAAGGGTTGGGATTACAGGCGTGAGCCACTGCACCTGGCCAGTCTTGTAGGTTTTTCAGAACTTTGGCTTTTACTTTTTTTTTTTTTGAGAGACAAAGTCTCGCTCTGTCTCCCACAAAGCTACTGCAGCCTCGACCTCCTGGGCTGAAGTGATCTGCCTAAGCCTCTGAGTAGCTGGGACTACAGGTCCATGCAACCACACTCAGCTTTTTTTTTTTTTCTTTTATGTAGGATCAGGTCTTACCGTGTTACCCAAGCTGGCTTTTACTCTTTTTTTTTTTTTTTTTTTTTT